AGACGGCTAGTGCAGTAAATCAATAGTTTCCTCAGTCGCTGGATTGAATAAAAGCATATCATTACTTTCAGTCCACTCCGCTATCAACACACTACTTTCCTCGTTCGGTGTATAACATTAAACTTTCAACCAAACTCTATCTCACTGCCTGAAGCGTGCAGGCTTGCATTCAACCTAGGTGAACAGTACGGAAGTTCACTGGCCTTCTGTACGTGGCAACATAGCGGTTCATCCCAGGGCGCCTACCGAGGATAAACTTTTTTTTTCTTTTTTTTTTTTAAACCACCCAAGGATTTGCTAGGGGTGCTGGTAAGAGCAGACACCCCTACCATACCCAGGAGGCTCCGTCTATTGGTGGGGAGCTGGACCCGGGTCCAGCGTCCCTGAACATGATTTTTTCAGTGACTGCCTGCCAGCATTGATTACCCTGAAACCAGGGGATTGACTGAGCAAGCCAAGAATGAGTTTGAGGGAAACCTTAACTAAGAGGCCTCTTCACCCTGCTGTTGGGCGCCTGACAAATCTGCCTACCTAGCCTCGTGACTCCCCTGTGTAGCAGCAAGACTGCCACCTGGCTTACCATCCATCATATTCCATGAGTCATCCATCCATTCCATACCACTGCATTCCAACTACGCAATTTGATGTGGGGGGGAAGAAATCGGGAAAGTTCTCTGGGGACTTCAGTGGTATCGCTGCATTAATGTCAGTCCAGTTATGGAATACCGGTCGATAGTCCCTTACTTTTTTCATCCTCTCTTGGCCCTCCTCGACTTCCTGTTGTGCCCCTTTCCACTCCCTCTTCCTTATCTTCCCACCGGTGATCCCCCCCCGCCAGCTTGAGGAGAATTCTTGGATTCTTTGTTCGATGTTTTTTTTCTTGTCAAGGGAGCGAATGCATGCTCTGACGTCCTCCCAATTTGCCGTTATTTCAATTTGAATCTGCTGTTGTACGCTATCTGTAAATTCAGACCCTTCTAATCTCGCTCCTTCCATCTCGTATATGCATCGTCTTCTCCACAGTGCCCAGAGCACCGCCCTTCTTCCCAGTTTGAACAGATTGTTGGTAAATTCATCGGGGGGATCAGTTTGATTCCTGGGCCATGCTTCGCACAGCAGGTCCGGCCAGTCCCAGGGCCACGTGGTTGTTGTTTCTAGTTGGTCCCAGATTCTGTCCCACCATCTCCACAACCAGAGTGTGCCCGGGCATTGTAAAAATATGTGTTTAATTGTCTCTGGACGTTTTCTGGATGGGAACGTGTTTGTGCACAACTTGCACCAGGGCAGAGCTAGCCCTTTTTGTTCCAGGGACCATATGTCTATTGGCCAGTTGTTGGTTGGTGGGCAGCGATGCTCAATCTGCCATTGAAGCGAGGCGAACTTGGCTGGTTTCGTCTTTGCCATGCTAAACCATTTAATCGGCCTTAGCGCCGCTTTGCTGATATTCAGGTGATTTCTCCACCGGTCCTCTACTTGGTCTCGGAGATTGATCCGTGGCCTCAAGAGTCTATAGGTGGATTTGACTGTTAGGCTGTGCAATAATTTGGTGTGACTCCTTCCCTTCCCTATCCGGGTCATCCATTTCCATTCCTCCAGGTTCAGGGCCAAATGGTGGAGTGGTGTGGAGGGGAGGAAAGCTATCCATTGCTCTCCCTCTCGCAGTACTCTGATTCTGAATATTTCCTCCTTCTGGCATATCCTCGTTGGGATGGTCTTTTCCATGACATGACCCCTTCCTATTTGAAAGAGACGCACCGCCACTGTTCCATCGGGATTACAGTATACCACTTTCCCCACCCTTCCTTGTAGATCCCTAAAAGCAACCCAATCTGATTGTTGCAGGGAAGGGCCTTTGCGCAGGATCCTCCACCAATCTAGCGGGATTTTATCCACAATCTCTTCCAGGGCTTCTTGGGGCCGGTGAAGCGCCACAGGAAATCAAATAGTAACGGACTGAATTCTATTTCACTGCCCTATCACAAGAAGGTTACCAACCCTTAGACCCTCAAAAACTAATGTCCGATTCGCTGCTGTTCCTCAACCAGTGTACACATCTTCACACTAATCAACAAGCTTTATCGGAAAATGATTGAATTTTTTCAGGCTAGTCCTCAAACTAGGCGGAAGCAAGGCACCTACCAAAAGAAGAGAGTGCCAAAATTCGAAGCTAGAAAAAAAATTATTTTCCTCCCGTAGCCAGTGGAAAAACTTCCAACCTTCAAAACGCATGCCCACAGTTTGTCCTCCAGCATATGCCTACTCAGCATAAAGATCCAACTTAACCCTAGGAAAAAGCTGAAGGCAGCCTAAATACTTGTTCAAGAAAGATCACGTTTCACATAGAACAAAAATGTAATGTGCTTACCCCATTCGTGAGCAGAACACCAAGAAGCATTTGTGTCATCCTTGTGCAGGGGCCATTTGCTAATTTACTCTTCTCTGTATCGTTCCAATTTTAATCGATGTCCCGAAGGACAGGTGCTGTTTCATAATAGGCACTAAAGGGATCGCCGTAGGCGGAGCCCCAATTTTTTTTTTTTTTTTTTTTTTTCCATTTTGGGAACGGAGCCCCAAAAATATTTAGGGCTATCGCACCGTAGGCGGAGCCCCCCAAAAAAGGAAAATCTAAACCTCAGCCGGTGAGTACATTTTCTGGGACTCTTTACTGTCTCCGAGCTCAGATTTCCCCCCTTTTTTTCCTGTGATGGCTGCTGTTTACATCAGCCTGGCAAGGCCTCTGGCCTGGCCGAAACAGTTCTCCATTGTTTGCTGTCGAACGGATGGGCGGGCCTTTTTTTTTTTTTTTTTTTTTTTTTTGAACAACACGGGCAGGACTGGAATGCAGGGAATCACCATTTGCTGGGCTGCTTCTGTAATTTTGCTGCTTACAGATCGACGGAATGGTGGATGTCTGGTCGAGTTATTAGAGAACTGCTGACTGGTTGGCTTTGTGTACGTAAGTAGAACTGCTGACTGGTTGGTAGAACTGCTGGCTGCTCAGATTCTTTTTTTTTTGTTTTTTTTTTTTTTCTTCTTTTTTTTGCTGCTCAGATTCAAGAAAGTTTTCTTTCCCCTTTGGATCCGTGATGATTGGGAAACGTCGGGATTGGTCTGGAAGGATCTGGTGGGGCGAGATGGAGGTATGTGGGGCGTTTGGTTCTAGTAGCTGTGTGTTCAAGAGTAGAACCAGAGGGCCAAGTCCCACTAGAAGCGTTGAGCTACCTCAACGCCTGAATCTGGACGTTTTTGCGAAGATGTCCGGAAATGGTGTTGAGTTTCTTGAACTGCATGTCTCCAAAAACACGTCCAGATTCCGGCGTTGAGGTAGCTCAACTCTGCTAGTGGGACTTGGCCCCAGAGGGCTGGTTTAGGAAATTGCTGATACTTTTGGTTTGGTTGTGGTTGCTTTGTGTACATGAATAGAACCCGAGGCAAGCAGAGCAAGTTGATGTTTTTTTTTTTTTTTTTTTTTTTTTGGACCATTTCTCGATTTACGCGTGTCATCCTTGCGCAGGCGCCGTATTGCTAATGTACCCTTCTCTGCATCGTTCCAATTTTAACGGATGTCCCGAGGGACAAGCAATGGTTTTGGCTTTTTTAGTTCTGCGTTCTCTGTTCTGTGTGCATGAGTAGAACGTGTAATGACAGTAAAAAAGGCCTGAAAGGCCGTCCTGTCCAGATTTGACAAGTAATTGACTGTCTCTTATACACATCTAGATGTGTATAAGAGACAGTAGCTACACATGGTAGCCATGGAGTTTGTCTAGCGCTTCCCTTCGTGTGCGTTGGGAGCGGGGGCGACGAGCTAATACACGCTAACTGTAAACAAGATCGGCACGCCCAGGTCGGCGTGTCAGGTCTTCAGATACGGAGTACTATTTTAGTTTCTTGCATTATTATCTTCGACGGGACTATTGATATTTTTGCATCCTTGCTTCACGACACAAGTTGCTTGCGACATCGCCAGACATCGGAGGGGAGTGGACTGCTCTCGTATCAACTAGCAGTTGAAGACATCGTGCGGGTGGAGCTGTTGGTTTGCGGTCCCCTTGTCCTTAGCTAGGGAAGCTGATGTGGCATCACTATTTCGTGCGGTTCTTTTTCTCTTTAAGTTATTCTTTTCTCTTTTGCGCCTTATTGGTCTGATTCAAAAAATTTCGAATTCTGCTGTTTGTCAAATATAGGAGTTTGGTCTTTGATAGGATTTCTTTCTTTTCTGTCGCTTTTTTATATGTGTAATAGCAGTTTTTCTCTTTGCTATTGTCTAGTTTCGACTCTTTTTACCTGACCCGTCTCCGAGTGATTTCAGCTTTTGTTTTCATAATATAGTTGATAGGATATTTCGCAGTGAATGATTGGATACTACAGCTCTTGGTGGAAGAAACACACGTTTGTTAGGATTTCTTTCCCTGCTGTCGATTTTTATATGTGCAACAGCAGTTTTTCTCTTTGCTATTGTCAGTTTCGACTCTTTCTTCCCGACCCGTCTCCGAATGATTTCAGCTTTTGTCTTCATAATATCGTCGATAGGATATTTGGCAAAGAATAACTCTTTTTCGCCACCAGCGTTAGCGTTGACAGCAGATTTGAAATATTCCTCTACTCTTTTTAGCCATGTCGATTGAAGGAATGCAATCACAAGCGCTTTCCTTGGCTGATGAGCGGGAGCTCCAAAACATGGTGGCGAACTGCTTCCTGACAGGAGAAGAAAATCCTGTGCTTGCCAAAAGATATGCAAAAACTGCGATAAATGTGGAGAACAAAACGCTGGAGGTTCATCTTGACCCAAAGTATGAGAAAATCCACATAGATTATCTCAAAAAGCATGGTGTTATGGTTCTCTTCGCAGATTGTGGACCTGATATGACATTTCAGGAGAAGGAAGATTGGATCCGTAGGGCAGAGGCTAAATGGGATGTCTTTGACCATGGGAAGGAATGGGAGAGTCAAACCTGAGGGTGCGTCCGTGATCTCATACCTTGCTCCGACCGTGCGGCTGCGTGATTGGTTGATCAATGATCAAGGAGAGAGTCTTATCAGATGGCAAAATGGGGAATACAAAGTTAGGTTTAGGCCTTGGCTGACCCCCACAGAGTTGCAAAGAGACAGACAAACAGCACAGGAAGGGCGTTTCTGGATTAGGGTTTTGAAAATTCCCTACCTCGCCCTTTCATCCCTACAAGGAGCAATGGAGACACACTATGGTCGAGTAATTAGAGCGCAATCACTCGAGAAAAGGAAAAATGAGCCTCGTCTCGTCAATCGCAGATATGATCTCGAGCTCTCTGCTCGATCAAAAGTTCAACCAACCATAAGTGTTTACACCACTGAAGGTCTCCTTACACTTGATGTCGTCACACAGGATACCCCCTGGTGTGAAGTTCACAAGTGGTACGACCACCCATCAGTCAAAGGTAGATGCCTCGCTGACGTTCCCCCTGAGGAATGGCCAAGTATCGTACAAAAAGGGAATGAGACTGTCCAGGAGGACACCCGATCAGCTGTTGAAGACATTGAGATGCGTGCTGCACGGGAGGTTAAAAAAAGACAGGAGAAACGATCCAAGTCTCACATGGATGATGTCAGGATGATAAGAGGAGAAACAACCTCCCCATATCGCAGGGGAGGGGACAAGGGAGGGGGGATTGGTGGTGGCAGGGGAGGAGGAAGGGGGGTTGGGGGGGAAGAGGGAGACGGTGGGGTGAGGGTAGGTGGGGAAGGTGGCGGTGGTCGAGGAAGGGAGGAGAGGAGTGGAGGTGTGAACTCCTCTGGAGTTGGGGCAGGGGGGCAGGGTGGACAAGGGGATGGCCCTGGGATAACGGCGGATGGAACGACATCGGCAGCTGGTGGCGAAAGACTGACTCAACAACAACAAATTGAAGGACATGCACTGGGCATGCAAGTTGGAACCAGATTGGATGAGCATGGAGATCAAACGATACCGCCCTTTCTGGTCATTCCACTGATTCTTGTTTGGAGCGAGGAACTGAGGCTGCTCACTGCCATGAAAGAGGACAATGTTCTCTACATCCCCCACATACCGGGAAATGTAGATCCGGATATTGCCGAAATCATATCTGAAATTCAGAAATGGTTAGGCCACGGATACCGGCTACGAAAGTGGCCGGAAGTGCAGTGGATAAAAGTTCCTAAAAAACATCTGTCTGGCGAAGAGACATCACTCATTTTCTTATTTTTGGACGCTCGACAGACCGAAGCTGTGTACGAAGTGGCCAACATGCCTCGAGCAAGATGGATTCCATGGCGCCTTTTTGCAGACCCCCATGGGGCGATGACGACGACGACCCAGATAGGGGGAAGGTGGACAGCGGAACTACTACACGAAGCCAACTCCTGTATGCCGCCACAGTATAAGCTCTTTGAGCCCGGTTTTGCTGGGCTCATGATGCAAAAGTGGGTGGAATGAATTCCTCTAATCTAACTCTCTCTGCCGAGTGCTACTTTCCCTCTTGATCTACATTTTTTTTTTTTTTTTTTTTTTTTTTTTTTTTTTTATTTTTTTTTTTTTTTTACACGTTCTGAGATGGTACTCTCCCCTCCTTTGTCATCTAGGAAATAAGGGATGGATAAAGTCAAAATCTTATCATGGAATGTGCGTGGACTGGGCTCACGCCAAGTGGCGCACAAAAGATCAGTAATAAAAACCGTGGCCAGAAATAACACTGGGACAATTGTTTGCCTACAAGAAACAAAATTAGACAGACGAGCCATGAATGCTCAGTTATCTTGGTGGCGAGGCCCTCAATTTTGGGCACCCGCCGCTGGAACAAAAGGAGGGGTGGCAATTCTGTTTGCCCCGAATTTGCCCATAACCTTTAAAGACTACTTCTGGGATTGTGACGGTAAATGGATTTGGGTAGCTTTCGAACTCGATGGACAAATGTGGAGCATATATAATGTTTATGCTCCATCAGATACCCAACACAGATCTGCTTTTTTTGACTTTCTGCCTACTACAGTCCCCCGACTGGATAACCTTATCCTTATCGGAGACTGGAACACGGTCTTACAGCCTCACATAGACTCAACGACAATGCACCCACCGACACAGACAGCACTGAAACTGATGGCTCTGACAGCACAATACAACTGGACTGACGCCCACCGATATCTCAACTCACAAGACCCAGTGTTCACATGGGTTGGAACTTCGCTAACGGCATCCCAACGACTGCCTCGTAGTCGCCTGGATGTCTGTTTCCTAACCCCCCCACTGTTGTCCTTGCTCCAACAGGTGGAGGTCGTCCCATCCCCAGGATCGGACCACCTCCCCTTGCTGGTTACACTTAAAAGAGGATTACACATTCGTCGGTATAGAGACATGTGTAGGCTCCCAGCATGGCTGAGTCATGATAAGCAATTTGTCAAAGGAATACAAGATTTGTGGAAACAAGAAATGTCCACAATGCCACCCCATCTTCAACCGCCTCGCAGATTGGCCCTGGCTTTTGACTCTCTGGCCCGACAGGCTAGGACAAAAATGGCTGAATACCATCGTATAAGGCGTGCTAAACAACAAACACAGTCAGTACATGATGTTTTGACTCGATTATCCGATTCTACACTCTCCGATGCTGAGTTGCTTGATTTGTATCAGGCAGATACGGCATATTCGCTGCAACTTTGTAAAACACAAATTGAAAAATCAGCGATAAGGACTGAACGTAAGTGGCTAGCTGTGGGAAACAAAATGAGCAAAGCTCATTTTGCCAGAGGGCGGCCACCCCACACAGACTCGATGATACTGGAACTGCAACATCCCTTTCAAGCAGCACAACCCAATGCACACACCACGGAACTCATATTACAATATGCTACTGAATTTTACACAGATCTCTTCACCACCAGACTGCAACCTGACGATGTGTCAATGCACTGCCAAGCACATATATGGCCAGCGTTGCCACCTGGTCTTACAGAACAAGAGAAGGATACGGTCGACTCAACACTTACCCTTTTGGAAGTGCGACGAGCCATCCAACAACTACCACTAGGTAAAGTGCCTGGTGTAGATGGGATACCTATAGAACTGGTACGTCGATCCTCTTCGACTATGTCCTCAGATATCCTTAATCTCATGAATGCACTGTCTGAGGGACAAGCAATGCCCTCGACTCACGTGCAAGGGATTCTAACTCTTATACACAAAAAAGGAGACAAAACACAAATCCGAAACAAAAGGCCTATAACACTGACTACCACTTTATACAAAGTGGTGGCCAGAATTCTAGCCAATCGTATCCAAGGAGTGCTCCCTAAACTCATACACCACGATCAGACAGGTTTTCTTCAGAACCGCCAAATATTGGACACAATCATGGCTGTCTGTCAAGGAATAGAATATATCAATCGTGTTGAGCAGCCAATTGGCATTCTCCTCCTAGACTTTGAGAAAGCCTACGACCGAGTCGACTGGAATTTCCTTTTTTTTACTGCTTCAAAGACTCAACTTTGGTCCCAAGTTTGTGGCCTGTGTGAGAGCGCTTTTCACAGGGGCTACAACAAGACTGCTTGTCAATGGCGAACTCTCTGAACCGATCACTCTCACTCGGTCGGTTAAGCAGGGATGCCTGCTTGCCCCTTATCTTTACATACTATACATAGAAGCACTACATGCCATGATCCGTGTTGATCATCGTATCATAGGCCTGAGGTATCCCCCCAATCAGGAAGCAAAAGGACAATCCTTTGCTGATGATACCTCAATTTTCATTCTTCTTGAAGATGGTGTCTTCAATGCTCTCAAAGAAACCATCACAATTTTCTCTGAGGCATCAGAAGCTAAAATTAACTGGCAAAAATCGGTACTTATGGTCCCGCAGCACAGTCCTCCCCCTTACCATTGGGGGATTCGGATTGCAGACCCTGACGATCAGCAGAGATTATTGGGATACTATATTAACTTTAATGGTAAAATAGGCCAGAACACAGCGCAGATTGTTGACAGGATAAACTCAGTATTAGCATCATGGGTCAGAGTCAAAGGGGCAGGCTTGTATGGTCGGGTTTTGACGATCAATAATGCTGTCTTTGCTAAAATTTGGTATGAACATTCTATGAAAGCCTTACAAATGTCAGTGTATAAGCATATAAAACGAGCCGTGGCCAACTACGTATGGAAAGAGAAAATAAATGAGCAGGCTTTCATATCTAAAGTGGCCTGGAAAAAAATCATTCAAAAAAAAAAAGAGGGTGGATTAGGAGTGCTAGATCCACAATTGCAGATACACGCTTTGTTAACTAAATGGGTACCCAAACTACTCTTTGCTGATGATACTGCTACGTGGAAAGCGATTGCCAAATGCCTGTTGTCTGCAGATTTTGGGATGAACTCGAATCCAGAAATTGTTCTGATAGCACTATTCATGGAAGAATATTGCAGAAAGACAGCAATATCACCCATATGGAGGAGCATACTGGAAGCATGGAGACAGATTCTCCCCCAGAGAATGTCCCCTGTGTTACAGTATGATCGACTGCTGTCACAACCAATTTTTAATAACCCTCTTATATTAGACAATGATGGGCAGTCTTTTCGCATATTTGGTACCGGAAATGTTGGTCACAGTTGGATGTCAAGGGGAGTGGCCACGTTGGCCCATTTGTGGGATGAAACTAATAAAACATGGAAAGGAGAAGACCACATGCAACGTGTTCTGTATGGACTCAGAGCATGGAGACATAATCTACGCAATGTCCTTTTGGCAATACCGCAAGAGTGGACCCAGATTTTGAGTCAACAGAGATGTCTGACAGGAACCTGGTTTCGAGATGACACGGAAGATGCTACCCGCACACTCTGGCGACTGGAAACACAATTAACTGATGATGAATGGGAGATGACTAGTTGGACGGTGAAGGATGGAGCAATGGGCCTGGGAACTGCCCTCATCAGATCCTCCTCAGCCTCAATTGCCTCTCACCTTCAACAAATGACTGCAGTCTGTGTGTTGGAGYAGAAACAAGCGCATAATGTCATATACCTCCCCTACAGACTACAGACAGCCTCCAAGGATTTGATGATTGACCCAAGAGACTGGTACTGGAAAGACCCGCGGAAGCCGGACACAGCCATATCACTGACACAGCATTCTGCCAGACTTGCATACTTGATGCTCTTACCAGAAATGGATGTTGACTGGAGCATTGCTAAAAAATGGCGAACACTTGGATATACACTACAGACTGATAGGATAACGGTGTTTTGGCGACTGCTTCCCTCGTTGCGGGTCGCCAAACACGCCGGGCTACTTTGGCAAATCTTGCACAATGCCATTCCTACTGCCGCCTTTCTGTATCGCCGTCGAAAACAGGGTACACCTTTCTGTGAAGCATGCTTAGTCCCGCACCTTGTGGAAGATCAGCACCACATATGGATTTCATGCAAGAATGTCAGAGATGTTTGGGCATATTTTCACATGCACTCCCCGTTGCCTATACAATGGGGAGATATGTGGTCAACTGCATCTATCTTACTTGGAACAGTGGTATTGAAGCTCTCCAAGCCCCGGGCGTACGTCTATGAATCAGTCAGAGCCACAGTGCTTTGGCACCTATGGAGACAGAGGAATGGAGTGTCACTGTCCAACGAAACGCCTTCGTCTCAGCAAGTGATTAATAGGATTAAAAAGGATTTGCGCCACATCATCTATTTGGATTGGAAACAGCGACTTGGAAAGCCGGTGAGCCTGAGTGCTGGGGTGCTATGGTTTCAGAAGCACTGGGCGGCTTGCCCCTCTTTGGTCTCCATTGATACGTGCACTGGAGAATTCCGGTTTGGACCCTTCTTGCAGACATCAGCATAATAAGGATGAATCATAATGGGACTCAACAGCAGATCATTACTCGCTCTTTCTCTGTGGAGATCCTTTCGTGGTGATCTGTTTGGCGATTTTTACTGTAATAATGTTTGTAGGACAGACAGTTTCTTTTGTTCTAGTAATAACATTGTAGGCAATATATTTCTCTTGCTCCTGAAATGTGGTATAGTAGGTGTTGAATCTCCACTCTCTTTGTCTATTCACAGTTGTCTTGTAGGTGTCTTAATTTTTAGCGGTATAATTTTTGTGGGAACTACTTTAGATTTTTATCATTTGTAGTTAAAACCGGGAACTTTGTATTTCCTATTGTTCCTTTGCTTTTGGCTACAGGGGAGGGGCTCCACCTCACAGAGAAGGATTGGAGACCTAGCGGCCCCTGAATCTGGAACTTGTTTCATTTGTTGTATGTTGCCTTGGGCACTGGGCCGTATTTAAAAGAAGGAAAGATTTGGAAAAAAAATAAAAATAATAATAATAATATAAAAAAAAGAAAAAAAAGAAATTGATAGGTGGCAGGCAGGTGGCCTGCCCAGGAAGGTACATGTGGCCAATCATTATGGGGATTGAACCCAAGACCTGCTGAATGCTGCATGAGTACCTTACCTTTCCTTTTTTTTTATTTTTTTTTTGGGTCGGTTTCCGGCCTCTTGTCTGGAAAAAAAACTAAAGAAGTAAAAAATAATTATTTATACCTTTCTGGGCCTTTTTTTTTTTTTTTTTTTTAAGTACTCTTTTTATATATAAGGGCCCAGTGCCCAAGGCAGAACAAGATAGAAAGCAAAGAGCCATATTCAGGGGCCGGCAGGTCTCCAATCCTACTCTATGAGGCGGAGCATCCTCCCCTGTGTTTGTAATGAGACATAAATGAAGAAAGTAAGTGAGGTATC